ATGCAATCAAGATGCACTGATAATTACTGGTGATTGGAATGCAAATGCTGGAAACAAAGAAGAAGCATTACTATTTGGAAAATATGGCCTTGGTGATAGAAATGATGCCAGAGATTGCATGATAGAATTTTGCAAGACCAACGACTTCTTCAATGAAAATACCTTTCTTCAACAACACAAACAGCGACTACACATGTGGACCTCACTAGATGGAAAACACAGGGATCAAATCAACTACATTTGTGTAAAGAGATGATAGAAAAACTCAGTATCATCAGTCAGAACAAGGCCAGGGGCTGACTGCAGAACAGACCATCAATTGCTCATATGCCAGTTCAAGTTGAAGCTGAAGAAAATTAGAACAATATAGGAGAGCCAAAGTACGACCTTGAGTATATCCCATCTGAATTTAGAGACCATCTCAAGGATAGGTTTGATGCACTGAATATTAATGACTGAAGACTAGATGAGTTGTAGAAAGAGATCAAGGACATCATACATGAAGAAAGCAAAAGGTCATTATGAAGACAGAAAAGAAAGAAAAGACCAAAATGGATGTCAGAAAAGACTCTGAAACTTGCTTTTGAACATACAGTAGCTAAAGTGAACAGAAGAAATGATAACTTAAAAGAGTTGAACAGAAGATTTCAAAGGGCAGCCAGGGAGACAAAGTAAAATATTGTAATGAAATGTGCAAAGACCTAGAGTTAGAAAAACAAAAGGGAAGAACATGCTTATCATTTCCAAAGCTGAAAGAACTGAAGAGAAAATTCAAGCCTTGAGTTGCAATATTGAAGGATTCTACAGGGAAAATATTAAATGATGCAGGAAGCATCAAAAGAAAATGGAAGGAATCCACAGTCACTGTACCAAAAAGAACTGGTCAATATTAACCATTTCAGGAGGTAGCATATGATCAAGAATGATGGTTCTGCATGAAGAAGTCCAAGCTGCACTGAAGGCATTGGCGAAAAACAAGGCTCCAGGAATTGACGGAACACCAATTGAGATGTTTCAACAGACGAATGTTGTACTAGAAGTGCTCCCTTGTCTATGTCAAGAAATTTGGAAGACAGCTGCCTGGCCAACTGACTGGAAGAAATCCATATTTGTGCTCATTCCAAAGAAAGGTGATCCAACAGAATGAGGAAATTATCAAACAATATCATTAATATCACACAAAAGTAAAATTTTGCTGAAGATCATTCAAAAGTGGTTGCAGCAGTATGTTGACAGCGAACTGCCAGAAATTCAAGCCAGATTCAAAGAGAATGTGGAATGAGGGATATCACTGCTGAAGTCTTGTGGATCTTGGCTGAAAGCAGAGAATACCAGAAAGATACTTACCTGTGTTTTATTGATTACGCAAAAGCATTCAACTGTGTGGATCATAACATAATTGTGGATAATTATGGGTAACATTGTGAAGAATGGGAATTCCAGAGCACTTAATTGTGCTCATGAGGAACCTGTACATAGGCCAAGAGGCAGTCGTTCAAACAGAATAAGGGGATACTGCATGGTTAAAAATCAGGAATGGTGTGCGTCAGGGTTGTAGACTTTCACGATACTTATTCAATCTGTGTGCTGAGCAAATAATCAGAGAAGCTGGACTATATGAAGAAGAATGGGGCAACAAGATTGGAGAAAGACTAATTAACAGCCTGTGATATGCAGATAACACAACCTTGCTTGCTGAAAGTGAAGAGGACTTGAAGCACTTATTGATGAAGATCAAAGACTATAGCCTTCAATATGGATTACACCTCAGCATAAAGAAAACAAACATCCTCACAAGCAGACCAATGATGAACATCATGATGAATGGAGAATAGATTGAAGTTGTCAAGGATTTTCTTTTACTTGGATGCACAATCAATGCCCATGCAAGCAGCAGTCAAGAAATCAAAAGATGCATTGCATTTTGCAAATCGGTGGCAAAAGACCTCTTTAAAGTGTTTTAAAGGGTTAAAAAGCAAAGGATGGCAGAACTTCGTCTGACATACTTTGGACATGTTATTAGGGGAGACCAGTTCCTGAAGACCAACATCATGCTTGGTAAACTAGACGGTCAGCAAAAAAATGAAAGATACTCAAGGAGATGGATTGTCACCACAACTACGGGCTCAAGCGTAACAATTGTGAGGATAACGCACAACTGGGCAATGTTTCGTTCTGTTATACGTAGGGTCACTATGAGTTGGAACCAACTTGATGGCACCCAACAACAAGAATATTTTACTTGGCTTATTTGGAAACAGTACCCTGTAGAGAAGCGATTTTGCTGTCTTGATGTCTTTTAGAGGCCTCTATATATCAGTCAGGGAGCAGTGCAGTGGTTAAACACTCGGCTGCTAACAGAAAGATCAATGATTCAAACCCACCAGCCACTCCATGGGAGAAAGATATGGCAGTCTGCTTCTATAAAGATTTACAGCCTAGGAAACCCAAAGGGGGAATTCTACTTTGTTCTTTAGGGTCACTATGTGTCAGAATTGATTCAATGGCAGGCAGTGTGTTTGGTTTTTTAATGGGTTTAGGTATCAGTCAAAATGGGCATCCCAATGTGGTTGTTTAATTCGGGGACACTTGTTTTCTAATTTGCTGTGTAGAAAAATCAATTAGAAAGATCAAATGACTTCCAAAGGAGCCACTGATTTTCCAAACTATCTTTAGTGAGGTCGTGCCAATTAGACAAGAACATGCACATTAAGGAACCACAATGCTTGTTCATGTAGTGGGCAGGTGGCTCTGAGTTGTCCCTAAATTTAGCAATTCCCATCTTTCAAGAAAGATAGCACAACACTTGCAAGAACAAAAACAAAATTCACAATAAAACTCGAAGTGTTGCCAATGCAAAGGAGTGGAACTCGAATTTGAGAGGTTTACTTTGTGATGACTTCCGAGACTTTGTGGAAGCGGGGAGCCAAACTGGCTTGGCTGGTACCAAGGCCCAAATCCTTGATTCCTTGGGGGTCATCACAGGCAATACACCTTTGAAATATCATCACTGCCACCAATTAATGTCAAAGAAGTCTCATACTCTGTTGGAGTAGAAAGAGAGTGAGTTTTTTTTTTTTTAATTGTGCATTAGAAGAAATTTTACAGAGCAATTTAGTTTCTCATTTGATATTTTGTACATAAAGTATTCTATAACTTTGGTTTCATTCCCCACAATGTGCCAGCACTCTGCCCATTTCTGTCCTAGGTTCTCTGTTTCCTTTCATTTTGAGTTGCTTTCCCTTCCTGCCTTATCATCTTTGATTTAAAAAATATGGAATGCTTCATGAATTTGCATATCATCCTTAGGCAAAGGCCATGCCAATCTTCTCTGTATCATTCCAATTGTAGTATATGTGCTATTGAAGTGAGCAGAGAGAATAAATTTTATTGAGGGAATAACTCGAGTTGGGCAGCACAAAGCAAAAGGGCAAAGTGCTCTAGTCTTCTAAAGAAAAAGGAAAGCCTTTATACCTAAAGTTCAGCATGATTAAGACCGTTATCATCTTGCAAGCCATTCTTTCCTCTTATCAATTGTTTCCTGAGAACAGTCTGCAAGGAGATTTTTGTTACATGCTTCCTGGAACATTCTGGGTACACCCCCCCTACCCCGAGAAAAACTACTTCTCCTTCTACCTCCCCTTTTTGTTTTCCCAAGAGTGCCGTGAATTAACCCTTCATTTAGATCTCAGTCTGAAAGCCACACTATGTTGAATGTTTGCCAGCACACTGCTTTCATGTATCATTGCCTGCAGACTTTCACTAGCTCTTTCTTGAATGAATGTCCATTCTCTCTGTTTTCTTCCTATCCCCTCAAATTCTCTGGATCTTTTGATTATTGACTGTTTTCCATAGTACTTTATCTCTTTTCTTCTGTACCTCTGGGCTCTGAAAATTTCAAAGTCACTGACCATCAATATAAATAATCTTGTAAATTTGCTTTTGATTTAGTACTCTATTCTGTTCCATCACTTTCTTTATCAATCCTGGTGCCACAATCACACTGAACTAACCCCACACCTTCAGTCTTCTTTGGATAGGTATCTTTTTGATCTCTTTATTGTTAATGTTTTGGTTAATTTTTTATTGAAGTATAACATACATACACAAAAGTGCACAAATCTTAAGTATAAAGCTCTATGAATTTCCACAAACAAAACACACTTGTGTTACTACCAGCTAAAGCAAGAAATAGACCACCTAGTAGAACCCAATATTACCCTCCTTTCCCAGGCTCCCACTCATTACCCCAAAGTAACCAGCACTTTGACTTCTATAGGACCATACTAGTTTTGACTTAAATTTAAACTTTATCGAAATGGATTTATACAGTGTGTACCCTTTTGTGTTGGGACTCTCTCATTAAACTTTCTGTTTGTGATATTCATCTATATTGTACATGTGTTATGGATTGAATTGTGTCCCCCAAAAATGTGTGTCAACTTGTATAGGCCACGATTCCCAGTATTGTCTGGTTGTCCTACATTTTGTGATCTAGTTTTCCTATGTGTTGTAAATCCTAACCTCTATGATGTTAATAAGGAAGATTAGAGGCAGTTATGTTAATGAGGCTGGACATAATCTACAGGATTAGGCTGTATCTCTTGAGATATAAAAGATAGCAGTGAGCAGAGAGGAGAAGGGACCTCCTACCACCAAGAAAGAAGAGCCAGGATCAGAGTGTGTCCTTTGGACCCAGGGTCCCTGAGCTGAGAATCTCCTAGACCAGGGGAAGATTGATGACAAGGATCTTCCCCCAGAGCTGACAGAGAGAGAAAACCTTCCCCTGGAGCTGGCACCCTGAATTTGGACTTCTAGCCTCCTAGACCGTGAAAGAATAAACTTTTGTTTGTTAAAGGCGTACACTTGTGACATTTCTGTTATAGCAGCACTAGATAACTAAGACAGAATTTGGTATTGGGAGTAGGGTGCTGCTCTAATAGATGCTTACAATGTGGAAGCAGTTTTGAAACTGTGAATGGGTAGAGGCTGGAAGAGTTTTAAAGTGCCTAATAGTAAAAGCCTAGATTGCCTTGAAGAGACCATTGGTAGAATTATGGACATCAAAGTCAATTCTGGTGAGGGCTCATAAGGAAGTGAGGAGAGCTGTAATACTGAAGATAGTGCAGACAGTGAAAAGCAGCAGCAGAACCAGAAGACTGGTGCATGATGGCGTGGGAGCAGATCAACAGAGAAAGAGAGCTGAGTGCCTTTGGGAAGGAGGCTTCCTGGTGGAATGGGGTGCCTCTGGGGACTTATTGGTGGAGCTAGGTTTGCCAACCCAAGAGGCGAAAGAGGTGAATGCTTTCCATTTGAGATTTATGGGAGAGTGGGATGCCTCTGGTTACTTATCGGTAGAGCTAAAGAGCTTCTTAACACTTACCCAAGCAGGCAGAGGTTGGGCCGGCCCAAGAGGCCTGAGAGGCCAATGGCCTGAGGGGCTGAGAGGCCAAAGAACCAGGAAGCAAAAGCTGAAGAGACAAGGAGCCCAGGAAGCAGAGCTGCCTCAGTATCAAATGATGAGGCCATGACTTCTGGAATCACAAAGGGTGGAACAACAGCCTGCTGGGTCTCAAAGGGTGGGAACACAGCCTTCTAGCATTCAAAGAGTCAGATCTTCACCAAGCTGGTTCTGGGGTGTGGGTCTGCCATTCACCTGTGCCAATGGGATGGGGCCAAATCTGCTGCCCAAAGCTTAGGGGGTGGCACTGCCATGCCCAAGAGGCAGAAGAACAGGACCTGCCATGTCTGAGGGAGTGGGATCACCACTCAGTCAGATTAGGAGAATGGGGCCACACAAAGCAGGCCCACTGTTTTTCCAGTGAGTCTGAATGCGGAGCTGAAGCCCACGGCTGAGTGATTTCAGTCCGGAATCTGGAGAGTGTGACTAAAACCCGGAGTCTGGAGGGCAGGGCCATAGCCTAAATGGTATCAGAGAACAGTAGATTATGTTCAAGCCTTGAGAGCAAATATAATGTGTTCTGCTGACTTGCTTTGTCCCTGTTATCCTTTCTTTCCCTCCAATTTTTCCTATTTGTGATGGAAATGTCTACCTTGTGCCTGTTCCACCGTTGTACTTTGGAAGCAGATAACTTGTATTATAGATTTCACAGATGAAGAGGATTTTGCAGAAGATGAGATTTTGGATTTGGAGTTGATTTAAGACCTTTGGGATGATATGATGGGGTGAATGTGTTTTACCTGTGGCAAAGACACGAATTTTGGGGGCCAAAGGGTGAAATGTTATGGATTGAATTTTGTGCCCCTAAAATGTGTGTCAACTTGGCTAGGCCATGATTCCCAATATTGTCTGGTTGTCTTCCATTCTAAGATCTGATGTAGTTTTCCTATGTGCTGTAAATCCTAACCTCTATGCTGTTAATAAGGCAGGATTAGAGGCAGTTATATTAACGAGGCTGGACACAATCTACAGGATTAGGTTGTATTTTGAGTCAATCTCTTTTGAGATGTAAAAGAGAGCAGTGAGCAGACAGGAGGAGGGACCTCCTATTGTCAAGAAAGAGAAGCTGGGAGTGGAGCATGCCTTTTGGACCTGGGGGCCCTGCGTTGAGAAGCTCTTAGACCAGGGGAAGATTGATGACAAGGATTTTCTCCCAGAGCTAGCACAGAGAGAAGACCTTCCCTGGAGCTGGCATCCTGAATTTGGACTTCTAGCCTCCTAAACTATAAAAGAATAAACTTGTGTTTGTTAAAGCTACCCACTTGTGTTATTTCTGTTACAGCATCACTAGATAACTAGGACAACATGTAATAATTTTTGTTCATTTTAATTGTCGTATGTTGTTATTAGGTACTGTTGAATCAGTTCCGACTTGTAGCAACTCCATGCCCAACAGAAGGAAAAGCTACTTGGTCCTGTGCCATCCTCACAATTGTTGCTATGTTTGAACTCATTGTTGCAGCTACTGTGTCAGTCCATCTTGTTGAGGGTCTTCTTCTTTTTTGGTGATGTCCTACTTTACGAAGCATGGTGTCCTTCCCCAAGGCCTGGTCCTTCCTGATAGTATGTCCAAAGTACATGAGACGAAGTCTCACCATCCTTGCTTCTAAGGAGAATTCTGGCTGTACTTCTTTCAAGACAGATTTGTTCATTCTTCTAGCAGTCAATTGTATATTCAATATTCTTCAGCAACACCATAATTCAAAGGCATCAATTCTTCTTCGGTCTTCCTTATTCATTTTCCATCTTTTGCTTGCATGTGAGATGACTGAAAATATTACGGCTTGAGTTAGGCTCACCATAGTCGTCAAAGTGACATCTTCACTTTTTAACACTTTAAAGAGGTCTTTTGCAGCAGATTTGCCCAACGCAATA